CTTCTCATATAACATTAAAATGATTCCAACCCTCATGGGTGACTCTAAAGAAGTCCAAGACTTCAGCAGAGGAAGTCACTGCAGATGTGGTGGAAACAGCAAGAGGCTAGAATTAAAGTGGAGCCTGAAGACGTGACTGAATTGCTGCAATCTCATGATAAAACTTGAATGAATGAGGAGTTGCTTCTTATGGATAAGCAAAGAGAGTGGTTTCTTGAGATGGAATCTACTCTAGCGAACATGCTGTGAACATTGTTGAAATGAAAACAAAGGATTCAGAATATGACATAAACTTGGTTGATAAAGCGTGGCAGGGTTTGAGAGGACTGACTCCAATTTTGAAAGTAGTTCTACTGTGGGTAAAATGCTACCAAACAGTATTGTATGCTACCGAGAAATTTTTCATGAAAGGAAGAGTCAATCAATGTGGCAAACTTCATTGTTGTCTTATTTTTAGAAATTGCCACAGCCACCTGATCAGTCAGAAGCTATCACCATTGAAGCAAGACCTTCTACCAGCAGAAAGATTACTACTCTAATGTACATGTCAGGATGGACATTATCCAAAAAACAAAAGATAATTAGTGTTGGCAAGAATGTAAAGAAATTGAAATCCTTGCACAGGTGGAAGTGCAAATGGTGCACCTGCTGGAATACAGGGTGGAGGTTCACAAAAAAACTTTAAAATTAAAGTAGAACTACCATAAAATCCAGTAATCCCACTTCTAGGTATTTATCCAAAAGAGTTGAAATCAAAATCTCAATGAGATATTAACACTCTCATGTTCACTGCAGTGCTATTCATAGTAATCAAGATGTAGAAACCAACTAAATGTCCATCAACAGATGAATAATGAAACGCAGCATACACACAAACAATGGTATATTGTTCCAGCTAAAAAAAAAAAAAAGAAAAGGGAAATTTTTTAAATGTGAGACAGCATGGATGAACCTGAAGGGCATTATGCCAACTGAAATAAGCCAATCTCACAAGATATATAATGCACAATTCCACTTATATGAGGTATAAAATGAACCGCGTCATAGAGTCAAGAGGTGGAATGGTGTCACCCAGGAAACTGGAATGAGGGAAATGGGAGTTACTAATCAACAGGCTTAAGCTTTGATTAAGCCAGATGAATAAGTTAGAATCGACTATAGAATGTTATACTTAGAGTCCACAATACTGTATTATACAGCTAAAAATTATTAGAAGGTAGATCACATGTTAAGCATTCTTACCACAATTTTAAAAACAAATTATGAATTATTAATAAGGAGAAAAAAAAATATATAATAATCCCCAAATATTTTAAAGCCATTTTTTAAAAATTTAACCTTCATTTTTACTGCTTTATTAAGTTACAATTCACACATTATACACTTTCAACATCTATTTTTAATTTTTAAAATTATCCTGGTTTATATAAACCAAAAGATAACTTTCCTATTTATTTTGAAATTGAGTCTCACTCTGTAAGCCCAGGTTGGAGTGGCGCCATCTCGGCTCACTGCAACCTCCGCCTCCAGGGTTCACGCCATTCTTCTGCCTCAGCCTCCTGAGTAGCTGGGACTACAGGTGCCCGCCACCATGCCCGGCTAATTTTTGTATTTTTAGTAGGATGGGTTTCACCATGTTGCTCCAGGATCGCCTCAATCTCTCCCTGGCCTTGTGATCTGCCACCTTGGCCTCCCAAATGCTGGGATCACAGGTGTAAGCCGTGCCTGGCCAAGAAACTTTCTTTAATGAAATAAAGGCTATCTATTATATACTAACAGTAAATGAAACAGTGAGACAATAAGAGGCATTCTTCACTTTGGAGTCAGAAGCAAAATAAAACCGGCCATTATCACTTGCAATTCAAACTTGTTCTGGAAGTTCTAGCTAATACACAAAGACAGAAAAAATAGAAATATAAATATTAAAAAGTTATTACTATTTGTATAGATTATATGATAACCTGCCTAGAAAATCAAACATCAATGGAAAAACTGTAGAACCAGAAAGAAAGTTTGGTAATGTGGCTAGATACAAATGTGTTGCCAAAAAAGAAAAAAAAAAAAGAGGAAAACAGCTTTCCTATAAACTAAAGTCAATATAAGAGACAATCTAAAACAGACTCAAATACAATGAGAATTGATAAGTAAAACAGCATTTGGAAAAGATTTATGCAACACTGTGTTGGGACAATACCTCATTAGAGAGGGAAAAGGTAGACTCTTCTGTAACATATACCACAAAAATTAATACAGAATAATTAATCACCTATATATAAATAGCAAATTATGAAAAGAATATATGAAAAAATGTTTTAATGTTTTGGTGAGGAAGTGTTCTAAGCAACATATAGACTAGAAAAAATTAACGGTGATTGTACAGGAAATTTTAGATTCTACAAAGCAGAGACCATAAATGAACATTAGTTGACATCTTGGAAGAAACTATGTAATACACATAAAGACAAAATGTTATGTCTATGGAAAAGCAAAAACATAACACTTTGGCACATGAACACGGTGGCGCCATGCCTGCAATCCCAGCACTTCGGGAGGCCGAGGTGGCTAGATCACTTGAGGTCAGGAGTTCGAGACCAGCCTGGCCAACATGGCAAAGCCCTGTCTCTACTAAAAGTACAAGGGGGTGGCTGGGTGTGGTGACGGGCGCCTGTTATCAACTACTCAGAGGCTGGGGCAGGAGGATCGCTTGAACCCAGGAGGCAGAATGTTTGCAGTGTGCAAGATTGTGCCACTGCATACACAGCAGTGAGACAAAAAGAAAAGAAAAAAACCCACAAAACAACTTTTAGGAGTCAAAAAGAAACAGTAAATAAACACATGAAAAGCTGCAAAACTCCACTGTCAAAGAGTTTATACAATAAAATGAACATTTTTAACCTATCAGAAAAAATAAAAACTTAACGATGTTGAGTGGAGGTGCAGAAATGGACACTCTCCTCATTATTATTTCTCAGTATTTATCAAATTCTAAGATATGCAAGCCTCATAATCAGCAGTCCAAATTCAAATATTTTTATACTATGAAATACTTGGGAATAAGTGTACCAAGATACAGGAACAGGATGTTCCAATCCATAAAACACTGGTTTTTATGACAAAGATTATATATAATCTAAACTTTCCTTGGATATAGGAAAAGCTAACCACATAGCAGTTCGCATGATGGTCACCAATAAAATCCTAAGACCATTATAAAGTATAATGAAGATCAAGGCAGAGGCCCAAGACACACTATTAAACAAGTAACAAGCTGCAGATAAGAAGAATACTACAATTCTATTTTTTAAAAATACTGTGTTTCTATATGTGTTTTCTAAAATAAAACACACAAAGCTACCTGATCAGCACCGGAGAGAGCAGATTTAAGAAGGGAGTATTCCCTCTCTTTTTGATACGGTTTTCAGAATGTATTACTACTAGCCCCTGCTATTATTATTTTTGCGATTTAACCCAGAACCCTCTGCCCATACACAACAGGCCTGTCACTTTCAAATATGTAATCAATACATAAGACTTCCATATTCTGAGTAATTATCTTCCATCCACTGGCCTCTACGATCAGCCGCTTCCACATTACACCCTGTGCAATACATGAAGACAGTTGCCACATACCCTTCAATCTTCTGTTATCAGTTAAATATCCCAAGTCCTTTGTGCACTCCCTTATGGGAATAGTGTCAGGGTTTGCCATTCATTCTTTTTAGATGCCAAGACACATTTCCCTGGGCTCCATCTGTCCAGAACAATATAGAATGGGTCTATTATCCCTTTATTTTGAAACAATTTCAACAGATGCACCTAACAGCTTAATTAGCTCTTCTGACAACCATACACAGCTGTTTATTAAAAATACAACCATGGAGGATGGGGTTCAGGGAAATTCTTTCTACTGTCTTCACAATTTTTCTATAAATCTAAAACGATTCTATAAAGTAGAAGTCACAAAATAAAATCAAATACTCTACTTACAAATATAAAATGTAACTTGAAAACTACTATTAGGTACTATGCTCACTACCTGGGTACAATATACCCATGTAACAAGCCTATTACATATTGCCCCGTATCAAATAAAAAGAGTTAGAACGCATTAAAAAACATATCATTTTGAGATATTTCCCTCAGAAGGAAATTTTCTTCACAATTTAGCTACTTGAGTCCTGTAGCAATTTACTTATGTGTGACTGATATGATGCATTTTACTGGCATCTGCTTGTACTGGTGACATTACTAAAACCATCCAAAAATGTTCTACAATAAATAGTTTTAACAATAGGATTTAGAAGAGAAAATTCATAAATATTCAGAACACAAATAATTATACTCCCTCTCCAGAAGGGGATTAAAAAAAAGAAAGAAAAGAAAAGCCTGACCAACATGGTGAAACCCCCTCTCACAAAAAAGCTACAAAAGATTAGCTGGGCATGATGATGCACATCTGTAGTCCCAGTTGCTTGGCAGAGCTGAGATGCGATGATCGCTTGAGCCCAGGATGTCCAGGCTGCAGTGAGCAGAGATCATGCCACTGCACTCCAGCCTGGGTGACAGACCAAGACTCTGTCAAAAGAAGAGAGGAAAGAGAGAAGAGGAGAGGAGGAGGGAGGAGAGGGAGAAGAGAGAGGAGGAGAGAGGAGGGAGAGGGGAGGAGAGGAGAGAGAGGGAGAGGAGAGGACAGAAGGAAGGGGGAAGGAATTCCAAAATAAATCTTTAGCTTACTGACTTTAAATTCTAATGATATATTATAATTTATCAATTAAACTTTGAATTAGTTCACAAATATAAATATCTCCAAAACAAGTCCAAATACATATAAGAAATCTGTAAGAATAATATTTTTAAGAAAACATTTAAGTTTGGTTCATATCTCCTTTCTTAATCATAATGCTGAAGTTTAACGCATATTCATTTGAAAAATTAATGTTATAGTAAGTTATTTAATAATTGAATACAGTATGTTTTAAAAACAATGATGATATAATTACCTTAGATAAACGTTTGTAGCTAAAACACACGAAATATCACGAACAGTCTGTGAAGAGAATCAAATCAATGAAACTTTTCTAAGGAATACTGCGATATTTAAAGAAGAAATTGATTCATTAGTAAACACTCCGCCAAGGAAAGAAGTATTTTTAATGTTTAAGGAGTCCACTCAGGAACAGGATACTATACATGCCTTCCTTTTCTCCTTCCGAGAAGTGATCACATGATTGAAAACTAAATGACCATCAGAAGTATCAGCAGGGTGAAAAATAGCACAGTGGACAAATAAAGACTGAGGGGTTTATAAGAAAGCAGAAAGGAAGGAGTGAAACTTGGCTGGCTGCAGGGATGAGAGAGAGAGTGTGAGGAGAGAGAAAGTGTGTGTGTCTGTGTGTGTGTGTGTATGAAGCTTGGCCGGCTACAGGGATTAGTGTGTGTGTGTAAGTGTTTATGTGTGTATGAAACTTGGCTGGCTGCAGGGATGAGTGTGTGTGTGTGTGCACATTTGAGTATGTGTGTATGAAACTTGGCTAGCTGCAGGGATGTTTGTGTGTGTGTGCGTGTGCGTGTGTGTGTGTATGAAACGTGGGTGGCTGCAGGGACGTGTGTGTGCATGTGTTTGTGTGTGTATGCGCACATGCCTGCTAATTGATGCACATGCATAGTTCAGGATGTGGTGTGTTTGGAGACTAGTAATGTATTTATAAGTCTTGGATCTTAATTTTTTTTTTTTAAATATAGCAGTTACGGATCTGGCTATCAGTTTCTCTCACATTGCTTAATCCGCTGAATAGTTAATTCGTGCATTGGCCCCTCTAAGTGGAGCCTTATAAGAATAACTTGACATTTTGCCTTGATGGAAAAGAAACAGGTCAGTAGAAAATCTTCATTCTAGCCAAGCACTGGTGAAAGGATGCAGGGCAGTAAACCTGCTCACATTTACTCATTCCTCCTTGTTCCTTTATGCGGCTCTTTCCACGTGGTCCCCAGGGAACTGGATCAAGGGTAAAACAACAGAGATGTTGAGGGAGACACCTTTCTCACTCTTAAATTATTCACATCTATGTGTAAACAAAGGAGTGGGAAGTGTGGCAACCTAAAGCTACATACAGAACATATGCAATTTTGACTTTAAGCTGAAAACTCCTTTCAACAAAGAACACAACTGTATGGTGGTAGGAAATTGCATTGCTATCTGCTTAAAAGTACAAAACAAATACATACTGGCTTAAGACTAGATAGCTTGTAAATAATATAAATAAAGATGGCTCAAGACTGCTAAGAAAAAACAAACAAACAAACAAAAAACCCCACTGTCTTTAACATGCTTTTAGATAAACTTTACCCAGACCAAGAAAATACACCACTGGTATTTTGAAGATTATTTCTTTCATTGAGATGTTCTTTTCTTCTGTCATGAAAACAGTGAACATGTAGAAAAATATTTTTAATTAGCTATACAAATTTCTTCTCATGAGCCCTCAAAATAGATCAAGACTTCACTGTGCTTCATATTTGAAAGACACTAATGTTGTTGTCAAGGACTTTTCTTTCATAACACCTATAAAAATTTTAAAAGAATTCATACAGACATTTGTCTAAATTCTTTGCTTCAATATCTGTACCCCCACCCCCAGTAATCAGGACTGTAGTTCAGACAGGAGTGGCCACATTTTGTTGTCGGGTGTACCTACAATGAATTAATGTAGTCCTTGATACACAGCTGGTGATAGTGTATGTATCTTTTGAAAGAAAAAATAAGAATACCTTTTATCATGGCTTTTTATAAAAAGATCGATAATGAAATATCTAAATAAAAAACAAACTTTGAGAGAGAGAAAGAGTTCATCCTAAAAATAACATGGAATTCTGAGCAATTTGCATTATTATAGTCCTTATATTGATGCAAAAACAAAATATCAATTAAAAATACCACAAAATAAACATAATCACCATAACAACTGGAAGCAATAATGTCTTTGTGTATCTCAGCGGAGTCTGAAATATACCAAATTATTCAAAATAATTATACGAATTTTATTAAATTAGTAACATCTATGTCAAACTAAGTGCCATGATAACATTCCTTAAAGTAAAGGTAAAATTTCTTTGTCACCAGCAGTATATATATTTATTGTCTTCCATGCCTTAATAAAATAATTAAAATTACAAAAATACTTATAAAAAGTATTCCAAAATTTTAATGAAAAATTTATTTTAATACAACTAGAATTGGTATATCTATTTTTTTCTTTTCTTTTTAATTTACATAATACTAAGTTTAAAATGTGTGTTTACCATACAGATTCCTACATTGTAATTTTCTGTCTAAAGCTCCATTATTTCATTAGTGAAACTAGAGCTAACAAGAAGAAAGCTAATCAAAGTTCAATTACTAAAACTATGAACAGTACAGAAATAACATTGGCTAACTAATTCTGATGACCTGTTATTGTGATAAGGAGTAATTTACAATGTAACTAAATTACACATTTCTTAAAAACAAGAAACCAGTTCATTTTCCTCTTTATCGCTATAGCAAACTGCCTCTGAATATGAAGAAGTGGTCAATAATAGTTTTGATGAATGGATGGCTGGTTGGATGGATAAGAAGAATGTAAATTTTATTATATACCTGTTTAAAATTCATAATGACTACACAAGATAAATAAATCCAGTAGCAACTTTGTTATGTTCTATGAAAAAATAAGTTTCAGATAGAGGAAAGAGCCTAGATTAAGGGATTTTAGAATAAATTAGAATCCATGTCCACAATCTTGTATGTGTGCTTTAGAGCCCAAATCTTTTAAGCTTTTCTTTATCTGCAAATGAAAGAACTATATGGCATGGCCTCTAGGAGCCCTTCACAGTCTTGTGTTCCATGATTCTACCAAGAGGCCTTTTTTTTTTTTGTTTTGATACAGAGTCTCACTCTGTCACCCAGGTTAGTCATTGGCACGATCTCAGCTCACTGCAATCTTCGCCTCCTGGGTTCAAGCAATTCTTCTCTCTCAGCCTCCTACTCAGGCTGGGACTACAGCATGCCTGTATGCCTGGTTAATTTTTGTATTTTTAGTAGAGATGGGTTACCACCATGTGGCCAGGCTGGTCTCCACTCTGACCATCAAGTAGTCTGCTTTACTATGGCCTCCCAAGTGTGGTTACAGGATGTAGACCACCATCAGCTATATTTTAAAGCTTTATAACATTAACTTTTTAAAAAGAATACCTTGCATTTGTATAATTTAAATGATTTTATTATGTTCATTAAAAAACTCATCAGTAGCATACCTTTCTTGGTAACACCTTGTTAAAAATGTTATAATATTTGGTGTGTTAACTGTAATAAAACTGAATTTCTTAAAAACAGAAACAAAAAATTGAGACTTTTTCCTAGTTATTCCACATTTCTCATGGCCTAGATTATGAAAGTAATTAGGTTTGTAATAATAGTAATTATTACTTAGGTCATATTGTATGTTAAACACTCTTCTCAGATTATCTCATTTAACCATCATCAATAACTCTATAAGATAGAGGCTATCTTTTTTTTTTTTTTAGGGAACAAAAACAAGTGAGAAATGGAGTGTAAAGAAGTTACAGTAGCATCTAATCCATTGTGTTTCACCAAGTATTGCAAGTTCAGTTAAACTAGAGCAAAAACTCCTATTAGTAGAGAAGGAGAAAAACCCATTCATACCGCTTTTTCCATGGTAAATTCAGGAGCACAGGTGTATATTAAAGTATCAAAATCTGTATACCTTAAGATTCTGGCTGCTATAAGATCACTCAGGCGAATCTGGGAAAATAAAGTAAAATTAATTAAAAATTACACAAATGATTATAGCCTATAGCCAGCAATGCTGTGAAGTGAGGCAACAAAGTTTATAGGCAGATAATCAATGTATTTAGACATCCTCTCAGAAAACAAACAACTACAGTGAACCAAACATACGTGCGCTGACTTCATAAATGTGAAAATGAGAAATATAATAGAAAATGAAAGAGGTAAGAAAGAAAGATGACGTCAAGGGCTATAATGCAAAATGAGCTAAAAAATAAATATCTGCTGAGAAGAAACCATCATGATTAATTACATACACATAATACAACAATTTAACAGTGAAAAACTATTTTATAACTCTTTCAGCAGCATACATTTGTAGGTCATAAGCTTTCTGTGCTGTGCTTCCACAAAATATCACAGACTGATTACAAATATTTGGAGTATGTGGTCTTTGAACATATATTCAAACCATTGAATATGAGACCTGATCCTCATAAATTACCCACAATTATACATACCACTTTGATCTTTGACTTATGTTCCCAGTCTCCAAGGCTAAAAATAGATACCAACAACCAAACCCAATGCAGAACTTCTATTTTTCTACTGATTATTTACAACCTGCTCTTTTTGTGAGACAATTATTTTTCCACAGCATCCTCAGAAAGTGAAAAAATGTTGTGACTCTAATTCAAATTATTTTATAGGGATAGGAATTATTTTATAACAAGTTTGATGATTATCAATGGTTTTCATTCAGTTAATTTAACCAAGCCACTACTCATTCAGAGTCTTCCCTCCTGCTATCACAAAGTATCAGTTTGCAGAAGTGTGTTGTATTTTTTTTTTTTTAATTTGTCGTGGCTGTTCTACCTGTAATCCCAGCACTTTGGGAGGCCAAGGCAGGCAGATCTCTTGAGGTCAGGAGTTTGAGACCAGGCTGGCCAACATGGGCCCATCTCTCTATTATTTACAAAAATTAGCCGGGCGTGGTGGCACGTGCCTATAATCTCAGCTACTCAGGAAGCTGAGGTGCGAGAATACGCTTGAGCCCAGGAGGTGGAGGCTGCAGTGACCCAGGGTTGTGCCACTCCAGCCTGGGTGATGAGTGGACTATATTACTTTTTGCATGGTATAAAAGGCTGAGGTCAATATCAGGCCAATTATGATAAGTCAAGAAACATAATCATGAACAAACTTAAATAAATAAATAACTTAGAAGATCTAAATAAAGTTTATCCTTAAGACATATGTAATAAAGTTAAAAACAATAAAAAGGAAAGGAGAATGGGGAAATGGAGTCAGACATACCCAGAGAACAGCAGCAACAAATAAACTAATAAACCACCATACAAAGCTAGCAATAAATAGCATACACTTACATTTAAATTACCATTTTAATATAAAACATGTATATTATATTCTGTATGAATATGTTGACCTTTTAAAAAGTAATACTATAAACCCTTGCCAAAGTACATAATTTCAGCACCAAACAGGGCCCTAACTGGTTGTATGTGATGAGTAAATTTCAAAATTGATTATTGTATATTCACTACTCATGTATACTTATTTCTAAACAGAAAGTGCTAGAAATAAAAAGTAGATTCATGCATTGTTTTCTATTCCCCAAACCAGTTAGTTAAGCAGGGACTTAGGCCTTGAAAAGGAGCTACTCTTTAGAACATTAACAAACAGAAATGCCACATGAAATGCTCACCATATGTTCTAGAAAATGAAAGATCAAAATTTTTTAACATTCTCTTTTTATATAACAAGAAAGGCCTTAACATTCAATCTTGTTTGATTGTCCATAGTTACAAATAAATAAAACAACACTGAGATTTTAAGAGTTCTGTATTTTCAAAGCTGAAGACAGTCTCACATATATTATGCAATAAATGGATAACTACGATGTAAACAACTAATTATTTATATTTTACTGAAATATAAACAAATAACTACTTAACAAACTAATAGTATTTTTTTCCTGAAAGGCCAAGTCAGCATTAGTGATCATTTCTTTCTTTTTTAGTAGGTTGCAGATCTCAACAGACTTCACCAAAGATTACATTATTGACTCTGCCAGTAACTCAAATCTAAAGACCTTAAAAGACACTTAACCTCTGTAAATGAAGAGTAAGAATAGATGGTTCAAAATTCTAGCTGCATATTTATAAGAACACCATGTTTTAACTAAAAAAGTACTTACGTGGTCACCAGAAACGCCTAGATTTTAGATGTCAGAAATTTCAAAATGATTGTTCCAAACCACCAGGCACTACCTTGAATTAGCTAGAAAATAAAATAGAAGTCCAGTATTTAAAACTACAAATCACCCAGTTAAAGTATTCAATTATATCTACAAATGACATATAAAATTTTAATTATGAGGTATAAATGGTGAGTTTTTAAAAGTTCCTTTGAAAATCTTGTTTAAAAGCAAAGTGGCAGTGACACTGGTATAAAATATAACCTTACTAAATTCTACATATCCTAAATCTTTTTTTTTTTTTTTTTTGTCTTAAGAGTGAAAGGTTAATAGAGTAAACGAAAGAAGGAAAAGAAAATGGCTTCCCATACAGCGACAGAGGAGGATTTGAACAAAAGAAAACCCCGTGTGCGTCGGAAAAAGTAGCTGCTTACACATATCCTAAATCTAAAGGAAGTTTTAAAAGAGTTACTTCTTTTGATTTCTATTAAGAAAAGTGTTTATGTGTTTGTTTCCAAACATTATTTCAACTAATCCATTTTTTAAAACACTACCTTAAAGAGTTCTTCTACCATATGTGAAATATATGAAGCCATCTTCGAAATAACAGTTTGAAATGTGAAAATTCAGCTTTTCTTTAAGAAGAGGAATATGAACTAAGAACTGGCAATGAGGCTTCTGTGTTACTATTGATTACAGCTAACCTTGGTCAAAAATTTCATTATTACACTTCTAAGACCCTGGCCCTGGGCTTTCAGTTCTTCTTGCCCAGCATTTCCCAAACTTAGCACTGTTGACATTGAGGCTGTCCTGTGTATTACAAGAAATCCTTGGCCTCTGTCTACAAGATGCCAACAGCATCTCCTCCCTCATCCCCATAGCATGACATCCAAAAATGTCTCCAGAGTTGACAGTGCTTCCTAGGGAGCAAAATCATGCCTGCTTGAGAAGCACTTCTCTAGCTTAACAGCTTGTCATCATTAATTATTGAGTCTCCAATAATAAATACACATTCTTTGATTGGCTTACATATTTTCAAATTTGAGGCATATAAAGAAATTTTCATTCAAAGTTGCATTTAGAATGCTTAGTTATATTGGAAAGGAAATACTCCAGGGTTCTCAAAGTTTTTAATTTATGTGGGTACATAGCAGGTGTATGTATTTATGGGGTAGATGGGATATTTTGATACAGGCACTGTGTGTAATAATCACATCAGGGTAAATGGAGTATCCATCATCACCTGAAGCATTGATCCTTTGTGTTACAAACAATCCAGTAATATTGTCTCAGTTATTTTTAAATGTACAATTAAATTTTGTTGACTATAGTGTTACCAAACACTACATGTTATCCTTTCTTTCTATTTTGTTTGTGCACATTAACCATCCCCACTTCCCCTCCACCTCACCTGTCCCCTTCCCAGCCTCTGGTAACCACATCATTCTATTCTTGATCTCAAGGTTCAACTCATAATTTTTGTCTCCCACAAATAAGTAAGAACATGCAAAGTTTGTCTTTCTGTACCTGGCTTATTTCAATTAATGTAATGACCTCCAGTTCCATCCATGTTATGGATAGGATCTCATTATGTATTTATGGGGTAGATGGGATATTTTGATACAGGCATACAATGTGTAATAATCACATCAGGGTAAATGGAGTATCCATCATCACCTGAAGCATTGATCCTTTGTGTTACAAACAATCCAGTAATATTGTCTCAGTTATTTTTAAATGTACAATTAAATTTTGTTGACTATAGTGTTACCAAACACTACATGTTATCCTTTCTTTCTATTTTGTTTGTGCACATTAACCATCCCCACTTCCCCTCCACCCCCTCACTATCCTTCCCAGCCTCTGGTAACCATCATTCTATTCTTGATCTCCATGAGTTCAACTCTTAATTTTTGGCTCCCAGAAATAAGTAAGAACATGCAAAGTTTGTCTTTCTGTACCTGGCTTATTTCAATTAATGTAATGACCTCCAGTTCCATCCATGTTATGGATAGGATCTCATTCTTTTTTCAGTTCCATCCATGTTATGGATAGGATCTCATTCTTTTTTTATGACAAGATGTCATTCTTTTTTATGGCTGAGTAGCATTGTGTTGTGTCAGTGTACCACATTTTCTTTATCCATTCACTTGTTGATGGACACTTAGGTTGCTTCCAAATCTAGACTATTGTGAGAAGTGCTGCAATAAACATGGGAGTGCAGATACCTCTTCTAAACATTTATTTCCTTTCTTTGGGGTATATATCTAAGAGTAGGATTGCTGGATCATTTGGTAACTCTATTTTTAGTTTTTTGAGGAACCTCCAAACTCTTCTATATAGTGGTTGTACTAATTTACATTTTCACCAAAAGTGTACGAGAGTTCCCTTTTCTCCACATCTTTTCCTGTCTTATGGATAACCGCCATTTGTTATTGCCTGTCTTTTGAATAATAGCCATTTTAATTGGAGTGAGATGCTATTTCACTGTAGTTTTGATTTGCATTTCTCTGATGATCAGTAATGTTGAGCACCTTTTCATGTACCTGTTTGCCACTTGTATGTTTTCTTTTGAGAAGTGTCTATTCAGATCTTTTGCCCATTTTTAAAGTAGATATATATATATATTTCCCTACAGAGTTGTTTGAGTCCCTTATATATTCTGGTTATTAATTCCTTGTCAGATTGGTAGTTTGCAAATATTTTCGCCCATTCTTTCTGTTGTCTCTTCACTTTGCTGATTGTTTCCTTTGCTGTGCTGAAGCTTTTACACTTGCTGTGATCCCATTTGTTCTTTTTTGCTTTGGTTGCCTGTGCTTCCTGGGTATTTACTCAAGAAATCTTTGCTCAATTCAGAGTTCTGGAGAGTGTCCCCAAAGTTTTCTTGTAGTAATTTCAGAGTTTGAGGTCTTAGATTTAAGTCTTTAATCCATTTGGATTTGATTTTTGTATGTGGCAAGAGATAGGCGTGTAGATTCATTCTTCCGCATATGGATATCCAGTTTTCCCAGCACCATTTATTGAAGAGATTTACCCTTTCCCCAGTGTATATTTTTGGGATTGCTGTAAAAAATAACTTTACAGTAGTTGTATGGATTTCTTTCTGGGTTCTCCTTCTGTTCCACTGGTCTGTGTGTCTGTTTTTATGGCAGTACCGTGATGTTTTGATTACTATACTTCTGTAGTATAATTTGAAGTCAGGTATTCTGATTCCTTCAGTTTTTTTCTTGCTCAGGATAGCTTTGGTTATTCTAGGTCTTTTCTGTTTTTATATATAAATAAAGATTTTTGTTTTCTGTTTCTGTGAGGAATATCATTAGTAGTTTGATGGGAATTGCATTGAATTTGTAGATTGCTTTGAATAGTATGGACATTTTAGCAATACTGATTCTTGCAATGCTTGAACATGGAATAGCTTTCCATTTTTTTGTGTCGTCTTCAATTTCTTTCTCCAGTTTTGCATCGCTTTCATTCTAGAGATCTTTCATTTCTTTGGTTAATTTCTAGGTATTTAATTTTATGTGCAGCTACTGTAAATGGAATTACTTTTTAAATTTTCTTTTTCAGGTTGTTCTCTGTTGGCATATAGAAATGTTAATTATTTTTGTATGATATTGTATCCTACAACATTACTGAATTTATCAGTTCTAATAGTTTTTTTTTTGGTGGAGATTTTAGGTTTTTCTAAATATAAGATCATGTCATCTGCAAAAAATGATAATTTGATCTCTTTCTTTCAAATTTGGATGCCCTTTATTTCTTTCTCTTGTCTGATTGCTCTAGCTAGGATTTCCAGTACTATGTTGAATAATGTGGTAAAAAGTGAGCATCCTTGTCATGTCCCAGATCTTAGAAGAAAGGTTTTCAGTGTTTCCTCACTCAGTATGATACTAGCTGGGCGTTTGCCGCATATGGCTTCTATTATGTTGATTAATGTTCCTTCTATACCCAGGTTTTTTAAGAAGGTTTTTATCCTGAAAGGATGTTGAATTTTATCAAATGATTTTTCTGCATCTATGGAGATGAGATGATCATATGATTTTTTTCCCCCTTCATTGTGTTGATATTACATATCACATGATTTGCTGTGTTGAACCATCTTTGTGTCCCTGAGATAAATCCTATTTGGTCATGATGAATAATCTTTTTAATGTGTTACTGAATTCAGTTTGCTAGTTTTTTGTTGAGGATTTTTGCATTAACATTAATCAGAGATACTGGCCCGTAGTTTTCTTTTTTTTGATGGGTCTTCCTATGGTTTGGGTATTAAAGTGATATTGATTTCATACAACAGGTTTGGGAGTGTTCCCTCCTCCTCTATTTCCTAGAATCGTTAGAGTAGGATTGATATTAGTCCTTCTTTAAATGTTTGATAAAATTCAGCAGTGAAGCCATCAGGTCCTGGGCTTTTCTTTGCTGGGAGACTTTTCATTAGAGATTTGATCTCATTACTTGTGATTGATCTGTTCAGGTTTTGGATTTCTATGTAGTTCAGTCTTGGTAGGTTTTACATATCTAGGGATTTACCCATTTCTAGGTTTTCTAATTGATCGGCATACAGTTGCTCATGGTAGTCTCTAATGATCCTTTAATTTCTGCAATATTGGTTGTAATGTCTCCTTTTTTTAATCTCTGATTTTATTTATTTGGACCTTCTCTCTTTCTTAGTCTGGCTAAAGATTTGTTTATTTTATCTTTTCAGAAAACCAGTTGATCTTTTATATTGTTTTCTTCATTGCAATTTCATTTATTTCTGCTCTGATATTTATTATTTCATTTCTCCTACTAACTTTGGGCTTTGTTTGCCCTTTTCTATTTTTTTAAGATGCATCATTGAGTTGTCAATTTGAGGTTTTTCTTCTATTTTGATGTAGGCATTTATAGCTATAGACTTCCCTCTTAATACTGCTTTCGCTGTATCCCATAGATTTTGATATGTTGTGTTTTCATTATCATTTGGTTCAAGAAAATTTTCAATTTCCTTCTTAATTTATTTATTAACCCACTGGTCATTCAGGAGCATATTCTTTAATTTCTATGTTTGTAGAGTTTCCAAAATTCCTTTTACTACTGATTTCTAGTTTTTTTCCATTGTTGTCAGAGAAGATACATGATATTGTTTCAATTTTTTAAAAATGTTTTAAGACTTGTTTTGTGGCCTGTCCTTGTTTTGTGGTCCTCGAGGAATGATCCATGTGCTGAGAAGGATGTGTATTCTGTAGCTATTGGATGAAATGTTCTGTAAGTATCTATTAGGTCCTTTTGATCAATAGTGCAGATTAAGTTCAGTGTTTCTTTGTTGATTTTCTGTCTAGATGATCTGTCCACTGCTGAAGGTGGGGTGCTGAAGTCTCAGGTTATTATTGTATTGGGATCTGTCTTTCTCTGTCTCTCTCTTTAGCTCTGATAACATTTGCTTTATGTATCTGGGTGCTCCAGTATTGGGTGTATATATATTTACAATTGTTGTATACTCTTGCTGAATTAACCCCTTTATCATTATATAATGACCTTCTTTGTCTCTTTTTATAGTTTTCGTCTTGTACTCTATTGTGTCTGATATAAGTATGGCTATTCCTGTTCTTTTATGGTTTCC